TGAAAGAGCTTTTAAAATAAAGTGGTTTTGCATCACAGTTCCTGCAACTTGCATTCACTTATTCTTATGAATAAGTTATGCCAGCACGAAGGCCTCTAGCTGACAGACTTGTACCTTATCCACTGGTTTGGGCCACGCACTTCAAAGGGTGGCTCATTGAAGTAAATGTGGTTACCCAGTTCTTCCAGCGGTGGCTCTGGGTCAGTGGTAGCAAACTGAGCAGCCTCCTCGATCTCCTTCCTCACTGCCACATCAATTTCCTAAACAAAAAACAGATGCTTATCGGAAGACAGCTCAGACAAAGCATCATAATTTTGAATTTAATTAAGTACTGCTCAGAACTAGTGTTAACACGGTCTATAAACATAAATTAACAGCCTGTGAAAACTCCTTCCTTACTAAACTAGAGCATCCGTCTGTTTTGGATAGTACTGGTAACTTACTGCCAGAGGAACATGACCTCACTGGGCCTTTACATTTTCAGTTCTGATTCTGCAGAACGCAGAGTGTCGGTGTCAATTTTATTTTTTAGAAGGAACTGATGGAAGCATTTACGTTTGCTTCAAAGGTTCCTGGCTCCTTCACTAGGATTTTCTCACTACTGATTATTTCCCTTTTGGAGACTTATTCCCTTCCCAGGTAGCCAGGAAAGCCCAAGTGATTTTGATTTCTACATGTTAGTACATGACAAAGAGCTGTATTTGAAACACTAACACCCCCATGTGTGGCTGTGCACCACAGAGTTCCACTCCACACCCAAAAGCACAACACTTTTCAGCAGAGTTCAGCTTCACTAGTTGGTGTGGGACAAAACTTCACCAATAAAGATTATGTTAAAACAAACTTTAAAGACCTTCAAAGAACAAGCAATGCATGCTGCCCTAGGATGTGCTCGTCCGAGGTCACTGTGTGAATGCTTAAGAGCTTGCCTGAGTAGCATCTGAAGGCCATACCTTTAATTCTTCAATACTAGCAAGGTTATTGTTGACCATTCTGTCCTTCAGCAGAGTAATTGGATCACTTTTGCTCCTCACTTCTTGAATTTCTTCTCTAGTACGATAGCTAGGAGCAAGACAAGCAAAGACATGAACTTCTTCACTGGTATCCTTGAACAGCAGTGAGATTCTGGACAGAGCTCACCTTTAGAAAAAGGTGTGACCAAAGAATCATCAGGAATGCAATGAAAAATACAGTGACTTCTACCACTCAAAGGCAGGCACAGCTACATCTAAAATGCTTCTTAGATCTGCAAGCGGCAACTGAGCTGAATTAGCTCCAGACTCGAGTACAATGTAGGCAGGGAAAGGGGAGCAATCCCAGCCTGAGACTGGGACTGAGACTTTTTGACAGTCCAAACCGTTCCTACAATTTTAGTTTACAAAATTTTTAGTACTCTAAAAACCTTGGAAAATGATGCTGCTTTTCAGTCACAACTTAATTAGCGCACATCATGAAGTCACACTGAAAGCAGAATTCATTAACAGGAAGTACAGGAGTTTAACTGGCTTTGTGCTTGTTCTAAAACTAAATCTTTTAATACTGCAAGTAAAGCAACTATGTTACATGGCCACAGACTATCAATGAGATGAGCAATCAGACTGGCTTGTAGTAACTTCCTAACCTTTACATGCACTTCAGAACAGCTACAAACATCGAATCCAAGAGTTTCAGGATTTTCAGCACCAATACCAATTTGTGTTCAGTGAATGCCAGAAAATGTCACCGTACCTTATTCCAGGGTCACTCATGCTGTGGCCATGGTAACGGTATGTCTGTAACTCCATCACAATAGGACCCTCAAAAAGAAAAAAACAACAATCAAGAGCGTGCTGCCACTTTGAGTGACCAATTTTTTGTTCGAGCAGCACCTATTTGCTGTAGGTGAACTACACCAGTGATTAAGGATTTTAGTTCAATGTTTTTTTTCTCAGTTTAATTTACAGAACATTACCACAAGTACTAAAGTGAAACAACAACTTTCAAATGAAGGGCCTGTGTTGATATTGTAAGCATTCATACTTGTGTTCTTGAGCAGCGCTAGACAATTTTTCCTTCCAACATCATTCCACAATTACTCAGACTATGTCAAATTGCCTTTTGTTTCAATTTCTTTCACCATTGCCCTTTGATTGTAACTCACAGAACCTTCTTCTTCTGCATGTACTTTTTTCTGTTGTACATTCCCAACAAATGTTATTGCACCAAATACTAAAAATCTTCAAACCCAGTGTACCATGTCTGGGTGACAGACACTACTGCTAACTCACAAAACTTTACTTTCACTTTCCATTAGTTGTAAATATAGTATGATTACTACTTTCCTTGATGCTCCCTCTAATTAATCTCCTCACAAAGAACACAACTGCCTGACAGTCAGAAAACCTTTCACAACAGAATTTAACTGGGGTAGGTATAGGGGGGGAGTGTCAAAGCATCAGGATATATATTTTTTAAATGCTTGGTTAATACCAATTGCATGTTAATAAATGCTATCAAAATTAAAGAACCACTCAATTACTTACAGGTTCAATACTCTGGAGAAAAAAGGAAATAAAGATCAAATAAAGTTTCAACAGTGACTGGAGAAAGGAGGCTAGATGAGGAGCTTTTTATGTGGCAATCATCTGGCTAAGAAATTCACCTATGGGAAAGGAATGATAACCACAGACTTACTTTTCCAGCTCTACAGTGCTCAACTGCAAACTTTGCTGCTTCTCGAACGCAGAGAACATCCATGCCGTCCACCTGATAAACAGAAACTACAAGTTGAGGCAGAAAAATCCCAAACCCCAAACATCCAACTTCAGTCCTTCCACAAGTGCAACAGGAATTCAGTTTCAAATTTTCCCATATTTGAAAAAAAACCCCTATAAATAAAAGAAATACATACAGCTGTATGCATTGTGCATGCATGTCTGCACACGTCCCCCAACTTCCATCCCACCACAAAAACCGCTGTGGTTGTGCTCACCCTGAGCCCTGGAATGAAGTCTCCTCTTTTGTAGTAGTCGGTACTGGCCGCAGCCCTTTCGACCGAGGTTCCCATGCCGTAGCGATTGTTCTCGCAGATGAAAATGCAAGGCAGCTTCCATAAGGCAGCCATGTTGTAGGTTTCAAATATCTGGCCCTGGGAGACAAAGGGAGAGTTCCACTCAGACAGGGAGCTCAGCCTTCAAGCAAAAGACTGCTGAAAATCCTTCTGTTGCAGAGGTCTATTCTAGCTAGAAGAAACTTTAAACTAAAAGCCATCTGAAACCAGCTGCTTGCTGCAGCTCACCAGGAATAAAAGAGAGGCTACAGTGTATGAGGCAACTTTGATCTCAACTAGTAGCTTACAAAACTTAATTTTTAAACCTGTATCTGTAGAACAAAACCTTCCACTTTAACTGATGTATTTCAGCAACAGTCATAATAAGCTTCACCACTGACTGATCTGTCAGGATCCTGCTACAGCAAAGTAAAAGTTTGACCACAGTGACTGTATCGGCCTTGCTACTTGAAGTAAGCTAAAGACAGGGAAAGTCAAAAACTGAGACCTCCATCTGTGTTCCAAAAGTGGGAAATTTTATCAGCACTACACTTGGAATCACCAGTTTCTTATCTGGCTTAATGTCTCTGCTGATAGCATGAAGAGACTGGCTAGAATGCCAACAGACAGCGGCTCTGTGAGATGCTGTCTTCAGAAACGTAAAGTACACGTTTCTGCCTCTTAAGCAGCACCGCCATCATTCTGATCTCACCCTCTGCCACTGACTGCTGTCACTCAAGTCTCTCATTAGAGCACAGAGACTTCAGGGTGCCACAACACTTAGGTGAGCCATGCACAGCTGGAAACTGGAAAGAGGATGATGAGAGTAACTGGAAGCCCCTCCTCCCATGAGGTGACATCATTAACCAGTGTTCACAGCATTAACCATTATCCCTACTCACCCCCTGAGCATCTAGAGTGCTGCAGATGGGAAGGAGCTGAGCAGCTTCCATCTGCTCCAGCAACAAGGACACAGTTCAAAATGGGGGTGGGGAAGGACAGACCTTTACACAGGTCCAAAACATGGTAAAAATCAAGTACATGCTACATTCCAGCTATATAAACAGT